CTGGGATCCATCTGGGATGTGCCTGGGATCCATCTGGGATTTGGGATCCATCTGGGATGTGCCTGGGATTTGGGATCCATCTGGGATTTGGGATCCATCTGGGATGTGCCTGGCTGCTGCTGTGCTTGGCTCCCCCTGGGCCAGGGGAGGTGGGGCCTGGCTCTGCTGAGCTTCTGCTCTCGGGCTTCCTCAGGGTCCTTCCTGTATTCCCTTCCTCATTCCCTTCTTTTCTTCCCTTCCTTTTTCTCTTTATTCCCTTCCTTTCCCCTCCCTGTATCCCCTTCCTTTTCCTCTTTGTTTTTTTCCTTTATCCCTTTGTTTTATTTTTTTTTATTCCCTTATTTTCTCCCTTATTCCTTTCCTTTGTTTATTCCCTTTATTCCTTTCCTTTATTCCTTTTTCTCTTCCTTTCCTCCTTTCCTTTCTTCCCTTCTCTCCCTCCCTTTTTCCCCCCTTTTCCTTTATTTGATTTATCAATTTCCTTCATTTATTTCCTTCATTTATTTACTTAATTTATTTTCTTCCCCCTGGTCACTGGATTTTCCTCCTCCCGGCCCTTCCCAGTTCCTCTTCCTGCTGGGCTCCTTCCTCCTCCTCCTCCTCCTCCTGGACTCCTCTGCTTCCCACCCAGGTACCTCCAGCCCTGTCCTTCCTCCTCCTCCTCCTCCTCCTCCTCCTCCTGCTGCTCAGGGTCAGGATGGGGATTGGGATCAGGCCCTGCAAGGGTGGGGTTTTCTTTTTATTTCCCATTTCTTTTCTCTTTCCTTTAACTTTTCTTTTTGTTTTCCCCCAATTTTCTCCCAATTTTCCCATTCCTTTCTTCCTCTTTTTTTCTCCTATTTTTGATTTTTTTCTCCTTTTTTTTCCACTTTTCCCTTTTCTTTCTTTACTTTCCTTTTTGCTTTTTAATTTCCCCATTTCCCATTCCAAATTTCCCTATTCCCCATTTCCCAATTTCCCCATTTCCCAATCCCATTCCCCATTCCCAATTTCCCCATTTCCCAATCCCATTCCTCATTCCCAATTTTCCCTTTCCCTGTTCCCAATCCCATTCCCAATTTTCCCATTCCCTGTTCCCAATCCCTTTCCCCATTTCCCCATTCCCAATTTCCCAATTTCCCCATTATTTCCCCATTTCCCCACAGGCAGAGACAGCAGCCAATCGAATCTGCAAAGTGCTGGCCGTGAACCAGGAGAACGAGCAGCTCATGGAGGACTACGAGCGCCTGGCCTCGGATGTAAGGGGGAAAAAAACCCCAAAATCACCCCAGAAACACCACAAAAACATCACGAAAACAACCCCAGAAACACCACAAAAACACCACAAAAACGACCCCAGAAACACCACAAAAACATCACAAAATCAACCCCAGAAACACCACAAAAACATCACGAAAACAACCCCAAAAACACCACAAAAACATCACAAAAACGACCCCAGAAACACACAAAAACGACCCCAGAAACACCACAAAAACATCACAAAATCAACCCCAGAAACACCACAAAAACGACACCAAAAACATCACAAAAACATCACAAAAACAACCCCAAAACCACCCCATAGAGCACTGGGAGTTCCTGGCCTCGGGTGTTTCCCAGCTCTTGGCTTGGATCCAGCCCCCAAACCCCAAACCCTTCACCCCAAACCCTTCACCCCAGTCCTGTTTCCCAGCTGCTGGCGTGGATCCAGCACCCCAAACCCCAGATTCCAAACCCCAAATCCTTCACCCCAATCCCTATTTCCCAGTTCCTGGCATGGATCCAGCATCCCAAATCCCTCACCCCAAACCCCTCACCCCAAATCCCACATCCCAAACCCTTCACCCCAGTCCTGTTTCCCAGCTGCTGGCGTGGATCCAGCACCCCAAATCCCTCACCCCAAACCCCAAATCCATTTCCTGTTCCCCAGCTCTTGGCGTGGATCCAGCACACCAAACCCACATCCCAAACCCCACATCCTTCACCCCAAACCCCAAATCCCAAACCCCAAACCCCTCACCCCAGTCCTGTTCCCCAGCTGCTGGCGTGGATCCAGCGCACCAACCCCACATCCTTCACCCCAAATCCCTCACCCCAAACCCCAAATCCCTCACCCCAAACCCCAAATCCCTCACCCCAGTCCTGTTCCCCAGCTCTTGGTGTGGATCCAGCACACCAAACCCCAAATCCCTCACCCCAAACCCCACATCCCTCACCCCAATCCCTATTTCCCAGCTCTTGGCGTGGATCTAGCGCACCAAACCCACATCCCAAACCCCACATCCTTCACCCCAAACCCCACATCCCTCACCCCAATCCCTGTTCCCCAGCTCTTGGCGTGGATCCAGCGCACCATCCCGTGGCTGGAGTCCCGGGATCCCCAGAAGACCATCCCGGCCATGCAGCAGAAGCTGGAGGATTTCCGGGAGTACCGGCGGGTGCACAAACCGCCCAAGGTGCAGGAGAAATGTCAGCTGGAGATCAACTTCAACACCCTGCAGACCAAACTGCGCCTCAGCGGCCG